GGCTGAGGCGGGATGCGGGATGCGGAGCCGAGGAGTCCGTAGGGCTTAGTGGTAGTAAAGTGCGTGGGTACCTCTGCAAGCCGAAGGTTTAACGGCGTTGTGGGGGCCTGAATAGGTTTCCCTGCGTCTCAGCGTTACGCCGTAAGGATAGCCGATGATTTTTGGTGTGTGACGCCCGGCGTTGTGGAAACCGGTTTCTGCGAGGGCAGAGAGGAGAGGTTGGGTGGTGGGTGGTGTGACAGCGGTGCGGGGGTAGAGGAGGATTGCTCGGGAAAGGCACGGTGGACGCTTGGCTGGGGAAGCTTTGCTTCGTGTAAGTGCAGTGGCTGAATGTAAGTTTTACTCAGCCACAATGCTCTGAGTTTTCATAATGCCCAGTTGAAGTATACAGGAATTATTCTGAAGAATGATGCCAGGAGCACTTAAGCCTCTTTTCCCTGTCATAGATTATTGTGAGTGGTTTAGCAGCTGCTTCTGGGTAACTTGCTAGAGCTGCTAGGTGATTCACCAGATCGTTGTGCAAACAACCATCAGTTTGAAGTGATAAAAGCTAGTTTTAAAAGTGCGTTAAAAGCCTGCTGTTTGTAAAGTGAAAAAATGACTGCCTGTTTTGGGGGAGTTTGCTTGCTTGCTTGTTTGTTTTGCTGGAATGTTCAATTTTCTGTAAAATTAGACAAAAGAGATACAGCATAGTACATATTGGAAATTTCTTTGAATTACATAGTAAACAGCAAAGGGATTGGAGGCAGCTTGAGAAGAAATTTACCGTGACCTTTCCCTCCAGAGAGGTTAAATAATGCCTGTATTGTTTTTGGCAGATACTTGTCTAACAATGATCAGATCTGTCTGCAAGAAAAGTTAAATAATATGTTGTTACAGATTAACAAACATCAGGATTACTTGATAAAATATCTTTGTGATAAAGGATTGAAACTTCATCATGTTAGGAAAACAGTTTAAAGTAGGATTTGTATTCCTAAAAGAATAAGAATTGGGGAAAAAAAATATTTTCAATTTATCGTCCCTCAGCATGGACAGGAGGGTCAACTAAAATAAATTACTGCCGGGTTCACGTGAGATGCCTACAGTGCTGTGTTAGGTTGCTTCTATGGGTGTCCTGGCAGGAGGGTTCCTCGTTGGGATGCACTCCCGGTATCCATACTCTGAGTCCAACTATGTCCAAGCTCTCCCAGGCACATCTACACTACACATTGCACATACTGTCCCTGGGCACAGCACTTACCTGACTGGTTGCCTGTTATTCCCAGGCCTTCCTAGCACTTCTGGCTGAATCACCATTTATTTGCTTATAGCAATGAGCAAATGTGCTACCCTGTGATTCAGCAGCCAGTCCTATACGAAAGACTACCCCTAACACTACCCTTCGATGCCTTTGTTAACCTTGTGGTGCTGGCATGTCCTAACAAGGGGTGACTTGAAAACTCAAGGAAATTTAGACACAGGGAGCTCTAGACAATGAGTGGAGTCCTTCCTGTAGGACCAGCCAGGTGCTCCATCTTGTTGGTGCCGACACTGTTTTGGTTTCAGCACTGGATTCTTCTCAGCCCTTCTGTGTCTCACACTCAGAGCATAGCCAAAATGTTGGAAATCATAAGTGCTGATGATGCCTAGAGTCTCTCAGAGGTTCTCAGTACATACAATAAAAACCTCTGGTGGGATCAGTATTCTTCAGCTGTGGGGATAAACAAGATGGGCACCTAATTTCAGCATGTGAAAAGCTATTTTAATGGTTTGGTAGGAACCCACATTGTTCCTGAACACCAGAGAAGAGGTGGCCAGAATACCATCTGCTCCAGGAGCAGGTGGCAGGTCTTCCTAGACTCATCCAGACACCTAACAGATGCATGGTACAGCAGTTGTGCAGCTGCATTTGATCCAACTTTGAAGCTAGCCCACCTCTGAGCAGGCAGTTGGACTGCCTTTCAACCTGAATTTTTCTATAATAGTTCTGTGTTGTATGCCATCTGCTTTACATTACCCAGTAACTATAAAAATTATCAGAACGTAATTGTCATTATGGAAGCCATTTTTGGTCACTTTTTTCTGTGATCTGAAAAACACTGGGAATGTGAGAGTGCTACATTGTTAGCTAGGCTTTGTTTTGAAAGGATTAATTATATTTTTTTGATTTCTGCTTAAGTCTGTAACTTTCTGTATTTTAATATGATTAGGCAGAGTTGAACATGGCAAAATACAGGCATAAATTGAATCTCATTTCATCTCAGCTTAATCTGATGCCTAGAGCAATGTTGTGGGGTGTTGGGTCATCACCAGAAGGGCAATCTGCAGCAAGTTCTTGTGTTTCTGAACTTTGTTACATTTCACTTGGGACAGGCGGGCAACCCCTTTCTGCCCAGCAACATCATCATCCCCTTTGAGAGACCTACACACTAACGTGTTCTTGTTGCCATTGTCTGCACATTCTGTCACTGCTCAGTGCCCACCTGAGCAGGCATTCAGCTGGCTCGTGTGGTGCTGCCTTTGAGAGCAGCTCTGTGCCAGTGTGCCAAATGCCTTTAAGTCCCAGAGGGATTCACCGCAGAGAAATGGTGACTCGAGTAGCTGCAGGAGAGCTACACATTTCATAAGACCTCTTATCCAAAGGCTTAGTTGATATAGCCAATGTCACGTTTTCCTGCCCATTTTTGTAAAAACCTTATCATTATGTGAAAAAGATTCTCGCTTTACACTCGACTATTCACTGAGGGCACTTTGAGGAGAACTTAGGGAAATACAGATACAGCTGAAAATTTAAGTATAAGTCTATGATGCCAAGCTTGTGTAATGGACTGTAGCATGCTAGCATATAAAGGGAGGATTGCCTTTAAACCATCTCTTTCATTTTCAGGGGAGAGAATTTGTCCAGTACCAGTTAGTACAACATGACAGATCATAGCAGTCAACTTGGCTTTACTAAACAGTGAAGTTGCCATGGCAAACCATACTGGAAAAATAAAATGGGGTCCTCTAAGGCAATGATGTCTGAATGCAAGAGTCTCAACATAACAAAATTTAGAACAGCCTCAGAAATCCCTAGAAATTTTTGTCAAATTGTTCTTCATTTGGAAAAAAAAAAAAAAAAAAAAAAAAAGTACTTCTATTATGAACAAAGTTGATGTGGATATTGAGTTAATTAATCTATAATAAGGATAGTAAAAGGATGTTTTCTTCTTCAAAGATTAAAAAATGCATCTTTTATTGAGCTGCTTCTGTAATAAATAAGCAATGTACCAGTTCTACATAATTAATTTTTGGATGAGCTGCTTTGGCTGAGTTTTCCAGACTTCATAAGATTTGTTGGTCTTCTCTTGCAGTACTCAGAGTCTGGAAGACATATCTGCATATTTGGATTTTGAACATATACAGATGATGTGAAAGTGCAGCACATTTGTGACTCTTTGTAAGTGGTATCTTTGTTTTATTTTTTTATTGTATTTTATTCCAGTAATGATGCCCTTGTTATGTTCTGTCTGTCTAGGCTGGTCTGATTCCCTTTTGCTTAGTTTATGGTAAATCAGAACAACATTATTTACATTAATGTAGGTATATAATGTGACTAAGAGAAGCAACTGTATGAGTGCTTTCATTAGCACTTCTGTGCTGGAGACTGTAGGGTATATGGGGAGGAGCATAGCAGAGTAACTGCAGCTCTCCTGTTAAGACCGTCCATACATCATTTACCCTGTGTCAGGAATTTGAAAGAGACAGCCCTCATTCCCATCACTTTTTGTCTTTCTTTGGCCTTCTGGATGAAGACAGCTACATTTAATATTGTGTCTTGCGTATTTTCTGCAGTCTTCATGTGGAAGCCTCTCATATTTCATTGGAAAATCATTGCAGCAATCTTTTCAGAGCTCTGGATTTAATTTTCACTGTAGGACAAAAATAACAGGAAACCTAAGACCCTTAATTTTTGAAGTCTGGAGTGTATCATGGAAGTGTTAAGTTTTCACTGAATGTAATAGGGGTTCATAAGTCTTCACAGCAATGAGATATTCTTAGATTATAAAAAAATTTGCAAT